AGATGCAGCCCTCCGCCTCCTGGCTTGTCGTCTGACAGGCTCCTTCAGTTCCTTGGCTCTTGAACTGGAAACTAATAAAGGCTGATCACCAACCCTCCCCCTTAACCCGGAAAAATTAAAGAGCATGAATTTGGGCACCGGGACTGTTTTCCCTTAATGGATCAGATGGACTGAATTCAGATCGGCCATTAATTCCACTTGAGGTGACCCCCTCTGGGGATCCTGGGTGTAGAAGCAAGAGCTCCTAATTGCAGCGATGGGGAACTGCATGGTCTAAGGACTCTGCTTATCTTCCAGCACTTCCTCAACTCCCAGTGCAGAACTTCTGGATCATCGTCATCCAAGTATACACGTGATCGACCTCACTCTCCTCTCTTCAGAGAATAGTGGCATACGAGGTCATACACATATACATATGGATCCGTATTCTAGACTCAGTAGACATATAAAAACATATCCTGGGGCAATTGCCTTAACCTCTCTCAGGAGGGGCCAGAAGCTTGCCTCGGTAGGCTGGGGGATGCTGACCGACTCACCGACTCTCATTTGTCCCAAGAGCAAATATGGGACTCGAGATGAAGTCTCATGTCACTTCCTCCTGGTGAGCTGGGTTAAGTCTCTGCGGTCATCCAAGCCTCTACTTTCCTCCTCTGTAAAATGGGAGTATTAAAAGGGGAACAGGGAAACTCGCCAAGGTTACGATGCGTTCCTGAGTCGGTACCCAGCCCCCATCACGGTCACAAGGCCCAGCTCCCCAGGAAGAGCCTTGTAGGAACTCTGAGAACATCTGAGCAAGAGCTGACAATTTAGAATCTGAAGTGGGTTGCTCTTCAGTTGTTATTTCAACATGGTGGAACTGGGAATCAAACCCAGGGCCTCGTGGAATGAGGGCTCGAGGTATGAGCTTTCACCACAGAGCCACATTCCCGGCCCGTGTCCTGACTGGCGGTGGAAGGCACTAATTCCCCCTCTCTCTCGCCGCCTGAGCATGACAAGAAAACTCAGTTGCTGTCTCCCAAAGAGATGCTTGCAGGTTGTACCTGTTCAAAGCTCACAGTTTCAATGCACAGAGTTGAAATCTTAAACTGCAGTCAGCTTGGGGATTCAAAAAAATAAGCCTTGGGGCCAGGGCAGTAGTGTAACAGGCCTTGTGCCCAGCCTTCCTGGGTTCCATATGCCCCCCTGACTTGGTCCTCATATGGTCCCCTGAACCCATGGGGAGTGATACCTGAGCACAGAACCAGGAGTAAGCCTCAAGCACTGCCAGGCATGGCCCATCAATGAATAAACAGTCCTTTCTCAGATCAGAGCTCCTAAGCTCCTGGTGACCCATCCTCCTCCTCAGGGTAAAAGTGGAGCTGTTCTTCTTCAGCTATCTCCTCAGGTGGATCCCATGGCAGGAGCAAACTATTTTTTCCTTTTTGATTTTTCCAATATTTTCTTTAAGGCACTGGTGATGTACCACACAGTCTGCTGGACGACGACTCTTCAGATGTCCATGTGTGCCCTTTGTGGATAGATCCCACGTGTCAATCTCCCTCTTCTTTGATACGATTGAGAGAATTTCATTTATGGGCAGAGCGCAATTCATTTAACCAATCCCCTTGTTGAGGATATTAGTGTTTCTGGGCATATTTGAAAAAAAAAAATAAGGGCCATACCCAGGAGTGCTGGGACGGAACTGAAGTCCTCACATTATTTTAAGAATTTTAAAAAGTCACGTGGACTGAAGTCCGCTGCAGCCACGCCATTCCACTACCGAGTCCCATTGTATGAAAGTTTCTGAGCACTGTGACGTGGTCCCCGGTCCCTTCATCACTCCCAGCCCCTTTAGTTTCTAGTCGAACATCGCCTTTTCTCCGGCGTCCTAGACATCTCTAGGATAGAGTCTTTTTCGTTTTTGTTTTGGGGCCACACCCAGAGGCACTCTGGGCTTTCTGCTGGCTCTGAGCTAAGGGGTCACTCCTGCCTGCGCTTGGGGGAACCAGAGGAGGTGCTGGGTTGGTGCTCGCAAGACCAGAGCCGTTAGCACTTCCTTGCTCTGCTCCCCGAGACCCAGACTCTTGAATCTTGTTTCTCTCACCAAGCTCAGCGCCTCGGAGACTTACCTAGGCGGTGGCAAGTGTGGGGGGCTGGTCCCTGACTGCTGAGGAAGCCCCTCAGGACAGCTCTATCCCAGCTCTTTCCTTTCCAGATTCACCACTTGAGAGGCTTTGGGAGATTTCCAGTCGGGGCAATTACGAGCGAATCTGCTGTTACTGTGGGTATGTTTTGATTCCCTTATGTAAACTCCCGAGAGCGGGATTACTTGTTGGCCGTTAAGTGTCTGTTCCACTTAATAAGCAGTTGCCAGATGGATTTCCAAAGCAACTCGAGTCGTGCCTCACTTTCCCATGAACAGGAGAGGCAGCCTGACGTGCAGCGCAGGGCTGTCATTGCGGTTGATTTCAGCTCTTCTGGGAGGTGTGTGCAGATTTTCTGTATTACATGCACAGTGCTCCAGTGAACATCCCTGTACTTCTACCCTTAGCGACTGAGTGTATCTGTGAGATACATTCTTAGAACTAGGACTTGACGGGAGCAAGTGTGTGAAAGGTTGGTTGGACGTTGCCAAAGAGCCCGAGAAGGCGGCTGATGACTGACCCGTCCACCAGGGAGCTGTGGTGGTGCCTGTTTCCTCCTGGGACCCTCAAGAGGCTTACACAATTTCAGCACAAGATTTGGTTTCTTTATTTAAAAAAAAACAGGTTGGGTGGGGGTGTGGAGCAACAGTACAGCAGGACGCTCATAATAATACAATAGGACGCTTGCCCACACACTGAGCCAGGTTCGATCCCCGGCACCGCACATGGTCGCTTGAGCACCGCCTGGAGTGATTTCTGAGCTCAGAGTCAGGAGCAAGCCCTGAGCACTGTGGAATGTAGCCCCAAGCCCCCACCCTCACAAAAGAATTACATCAGAACCAGAACATACATGTATACCCTGAAACAAAAGTTCCAAAAGACAATACTTCTCTCTTTCCTACTCATTCAATTCCATTTCACTAAAAATATGCTCCTTGGGCCAGAGTGATAGTCCAGTGGGTAAGGCGTTTGCCTGGCACGTGGCCAACCCATGTTCAATCCCTGGCATCTCATATGGTCCCCCGAGTACTACCAGGAGTAATTCCTGAGTGCAGAGCCAGGAGAAACTTCTGGGCATCTCCAGGTGGGACCAAAAAAACCCAAAAATAAATAGCACTATAGCACTGTCCTCCCATTGTTCATCAGTTTGCTCAAGCGGGCACCAGTAACATCTCCATTGTGATTCAATTTGCTATTCTTTTAAGATATTTTAGTATCTCTGATCATGAGATGTATTGATCTTAGTACTTCGGAATACCAGGGTTGTCTTTCGTGTCCCGAACGAATAGGTGGCTTAGTTCTCATTTCCACTTGTATCCTATGGGCTGGAGCGATAGCACAGTGGGCAGGGCATTTGCCTTGCACGCGGCTGACTCGGGTTCAATTCCTTTGTCCCTCTCGGAGAGCCTGAAAAGCTACCAAGAGTATCCCACCTGCCCAGCAGAGCTCCTCATGGCGTATTCGATATGCCAAAAACAGTAACAACAAGTCTCAGTAAAAATAAATAAATAAATAAATAAAATGCTCCTTGGGGTCTGCTAAGAAATAGATTTCCAAAACTGTGTTGAGAACTAGGCACTGTTCCCAAATCTTGGTTAGGGTGCTGACTCCCGTTGCAACCCCCTGGGAATCATAGAACCTCACTGCTAGCTTGGGGGACGTTAACTCCCGTAATCCTCTTTTCTTCATCTACTTTATTGTTCATTCATCAACGAGTTATTTTCACAAAGCACTCTCGGCCTCCTTCAAGGTGAACTCCATGTTCTGCAGCAGCCCTGGTTAGGTTCCTGTAGCCACGTCCAAGACTTGGTTTACCTCCTCTGGTTAAAGGGGAACAATGATCTAGCAACCCAACTGAAGTCCCGGATGTTCCCCAGCACAAGCTCAAGCCTACACTTAACGCAGTGTCCCCAAAGCGTTCTCGAAGCAGCTCCACGGCCTGCAAGTCTGCTGGACTCGCGAAAACTTGCAACTCAGCCCCGAGAGTGAATCAGAATTTCCAAGGGGGTCGCCCAGGAACCTGTTGTTCTGTTTGTTTGTTTGTTTGGGTGCCACCCCCAGCTCTGCTCAGGGCCTGCTCCTGGCTCTGCACCCAGCAATCCCTGCAGGCGATGCCAGGGCAGGGGGGCGCGGAGGGGCGCAGAGGGGGCACTGGGGGTCCGGAACCCCGGTTTGCCACGTGCAAGGCAAGTGCCCTCCCTGCTGCACTATTGCTCCGCGCCCCCCACCCCCCCAGCAAGCTGCTTGAACAATCTTCGGTACCTGCTCACGTTTTTTTTTGTTTGTTTGTTTGTTTTTTCTTTTTATTAGTGAAACACCCTGAGGTACAGTTGTAGACTTACAAATTTTTGTGCTTGGGTTTCGATTATACTACGATCAAACACCCATCCCTCCACCACTGCCCATTTTCCTTTTTATTCTTAAAACTCAACATTTTTTTTCCTTTTTTTAAAAATTTTTATTAGTGAAACACCATGAGGTACAGTGTAGACTTACAAATCTTTGTGCCTGGGTTTCAGTTATACAATGATCAAACACCCATCCCTCCACCAGTGCCCGTTTCCCACCGCCAGGGATAATATCCCTCCCACCCCCGTCCCCCCATCCCCCTGCTCGCGTTTGAGCATCGCAGGTTCGAGCCCCGGCGGCTGCGGCTCCTCCCCCTCCTCCTCCTCCTCCTCCGAGCTGCAGAGGGACCAGCCCCGCTTGCCCCGCCCGCCCGGGACCGCCGGAGCGCGCGCCCATTGGCCGGGTTTCCGCGGCGCTCCTCCGGGCAGCCAATCGCGAGGGCCGCGGCCTCGGGGGCGGGGCGGCGCGGCGAGAGCGGCGTGCCCATTGGCCGGGGCCAGGCCGCGGGGCGGGGCCGGGGCCGCGCAGGCGCACGGGCGAGGCGCGCCCCGGCGGCCGTTGGGACATGGCGACGGTGGCCGAGCTGAAGGCCGGTGAGTGGACGCGGGCGGCGGTGGACGCGGGCGGCGGGTGGACGCGGGCGGCGGTGGACGCGGGCGGCGGGTGGACGCGGGCGGCGGTGGACGCGGGCGCCGCCGGCCCCTCCCGGGCTGTGCGAGGAGCGGGCGAGGGCGCGGGGGGGTCTCCTGCCGCGGGGGCCGGAGGGGCAGCGGCGGGCTGGGCGGGGAGTGGACAGGCCACTCGCGGCGGCCTCGGAGCGCGCCCGCGACCGGCCCTGGGCCGAGGCCTCTCCCGCGGGCCGGGGGCGCCTCCCCCGGGCGCCCCCCCCCCGCCCGCTGCCCCTTCCCCCCCCCAGCTGGACAGAGTGGACGCGGCCGCCCTGCTGGCCGTGGGGTCAGGCCCTATGTGTCCCCCATACACGGAGACCCTCCAGGGGTCATCACGGGTGGAGCCACCCACTGGGGCCTGCACCCTCCCCCCCCCCCGCCCGCTGCCCCTTCCCTCCCCCCCAGCTGGACAGAGTGGACGTGGCCGCCCTGCTGGCCGTGGGGTCAGGCCCTATGTGTCCCCCATACACGGAGACCCTCCAGGGGTCATCACGGGTGGAGCCACCCACTGGGGCCTGGGCCCTCCCCCACCCCTCCCTTGCCCCTCCCCCCTCGGGTCACCTAAGGGATGGACCCCAGTGGCCAGTGGCCGGCGCCCTGCGGAGGTGGGACGGGCCCCGGGAGGACTTGGCCTGGCGCCAGCCGGGGGTTTGGGCCCCTTCTGGTGGGCGGTGCTGCTTTGTGGGGGGTGCCCAGGGCCCCCTCCTGGCTCTGCTCGCCCCGGGGACCCCCGGGATGCCAGGGGTCCGCCCGCCCTCCCGGCTCCGGCATGCAGGGGGTGTGCCCTGCTGTGGCCCTGTGGCTCCTGTAGACTTGGGTCGGTGTTTCTTGCTTTTGGGGTCACACCCGCGAGGCCCAGGGGTCCCTCCTGGCTCGTGCACTCAGGAATCGCTCCTGGCGGTGCTCGGGGGACCCTGTGGGATGCTGGGAGTCGAACCCGGGTCGGCCGCCTGCAAGGCAAACGCCCTGCCCGCCGCTGTGCTATGGCTCCAGCCCCCTAGACTGTTTTTTTTTAAACCTTTCATTTATTTTTCAGATGGAGGGGCATACCTGTGGTTCATAGATTGACCCCTGACCCCGCTCAGTGGTCACTCCTGGTGGTGCCCTCCGGGGAGGAGGAGGAGAAAATGATTGGTGACGTCCGGTGCCACTGGACGAGGCCGTGGGCATGGCAGGCCCCTAACCCCTGTTCTCCTTCTGTGATTTCTCAGGCCCCTTAAAAAAGCCTCGGAAAGCGCCGGCACGCGGGCCCCGGCCATGGCAGAAGGCACCGAGCTCAGGCTTTGCATGTGGGAGGCCCCGGCCCCGGCCCCAGGACCCACATGGGGTGGGGGCCCGGACGCCCCCGAGGTGCGGCCCCCACCCCACAACAGAACCTAAAGAATTCTCCCGCACATTGGCCCCCCTCCCCCGGCTCTGCCCCTGGCGGCGAGGGCCCCTTGTGGCCGTGAGCTCGGGGCTCACTCGAGCTCCCGTCCCCGCGGCCCGTGCAAGCGCAGAGTTGCCGGGACGGGATCCTTGCCAGGGGAAAGTCTCTCTGCGCTTCACTTCCAAAGATGGAATTGGAGAGCCGGCCTTGGGTGTGGTCCCAGGAGCATCGGGAGGGTGCCCTGCCTTGTAAGGGGCCTGCCCCAAAGCCTGCTGGCCCTGCGCTCCTTCCTGTGGCCCTACCTGAAGGAAGGGTCGAGCGCGGTTGGAGAACGCAGGGCAGGGCAGGGCAGGGCAGGCCTCCTCCCTCCGGATCCTGCCTCAGGGGTCCTGTGAACTGGGTCTTCAAGATTAAAACAAAATCTCGTTTCGTTCTGCTTGGGGGCCACCCCCAACCGTGTCCGAGTTCCTCCTGGCTCTGGAGACACAGGAATCACTCCCGGCGGGCTCGGGAGACCTTCTGGGGGTGCTGGGGGCGGGCTCTGGAGACCTTCTGGGGGTGCTGGGATTGAGCCCGGCGTGGCCTTGGGCAAGGTGCTCCCCACCTGCCGTGCTGTGCTCCAGCTCCATTTGACTATCGCTGATTATCAAAGCTCAGAATCTCCTGCCCATGCCGTGGCTCCCTGGCTCCCGGGCCACGAGGGGCGGCTGATTGTGCACTTCTTGGTGCCTCGGCAGGGCCCAGCGGCACAAGTCTATGAGTTCTGGTGTATTTGGTGAGGGGACACACCTGGGGATGCCCTTCGCACTGGGCTGTCTTTCTGGCCCTGACAGCACACTGGTGAGGATTATTCACCGGGCGGATGTGGTGCTGGCTTCCAGGTCTCCGAGGCAAAGTTTCTTTTTTGAGGACCCGTGAGTGAGCTGTGTCCGTGCTCTGGACTGGTCACTCAGCCATCAGGGATGATCTGGTTGAAAAGGTTCCAGGCCAGAAGATGGCACAGTGGGGAGGGCGCTTGCCCTGCCGGTGGCTAACCTGGGTTCATCCCGGCACCCTATATGGTCCCCTGAGCACCGCCGGGAGTGAGTCCTGAGAGCAGAGCCAGGAAAGGCCTGAGCATTGCTGGGGGTGGCCGAGAAACAAACAGAACACCGAGAAGCTTTCGACTCCAGCCAGGATGGAACCAGCGGGCCCCCATGGCCCTCACCCCGCCACTGTCGCCCCCTCTCACTGTCACGGGTCCCAATGTCTATGACTGTGACCTTCGTCCGTCCAGAAGCCAGGTCACCGGCGGCCTCCTGCGCCCGGTCCCTCCTGCTGGCAGCGATGTGCTTTAAAATGCCAAAATCTTGTTGTGCCAAGGCCTAAACTTGAGAGAAAGCAAACAGAACCCCACCCGTCCCCACCCGCCCCCCCTGCCCACCTTCTGCTCAGAATCGCTTGTTCCCTGGGAGTCGTAGAGAGCAGATGTAAGGATCTGGCCTCGGGGCCAGAGCACTCGCCCGAGGGGGGGTGCATGCCTCGTGTCCCCGTGTTGGGTCCAGGCGCCCCCACGTGCCCTCTGGGACCTCACCCGCACTGCCAGTCTGAGAGGTGCCGGAGGGGGCGCCGGGACCCCCGACACTGCTGGGGAGGCCCCGCACAAACAATGCATTGATGAGAAAGAAAGAAAACACCCGCCGCTCCCTGTGGAGGTGGATTTTGTTACCCTCGGTCATCTTCCGTCTCGGGCCGGGGTTTCCAGCGCTGGACGCAGCGGGCTTGCGGCCACTGAGCGCGCGCGGTCTCGGCCGCGTCAGGGCCTGGAACACGATGCCGCCCGGTCCCCTCCGCCTGCACTGCAGTGCGCGTGTCAGGTGTCACGAGGGGACTTGGGTCGGGTGAGATCTGCCGAGGCCGGGTCGGTCACTGCGGTTTGCAGCTTCACTTCTTGATTGTCGCCCTCCTGGTGTGTGGCAGCGCAGCCGATTGTGCCACTTTTCCGTTGTTGTTGTTGTTGCCCTCTAAAAGCTGTCTGTTTTTACCCCTCTCTGAATGCTTTCTTTTTCCTTTTTGGGTCACACCTGGCGATGCTCGGGGGTTCCTCCTGGCTCATGCACTCAGGAATTACTCCTGGCAGTGCTCAGGGGACCCTCTGGGATGCCGGGGATCGAACCCGGGTCTGCCATGTGCAAGGCAAACGCCCTCCCCGCTGTGCTATCGCTCCAGCCCACCTGAACTTTTTTTTCTCTTTTTGGGTCACACTCGGCGATGCTCAGGGGTTACTCCTGGCTCTGCACCCAGGGATTACTCTTGGCGGTGCTCGGGGGACCCTATGGGATGCCGGGGATCGAACCTGGGTCGGCCGCGTGCAAGGCAGACGCCCTCCCCGCTGTGCTCTCGCTCCAGCCCCCATGAACGGCCTTCTTAAGTGTCCCAGAGAACAGGCAGTTGTGCTCCCTGGGTGACAAATCACTGTCTCCCATGTCACAGTTTTAAGGGACACCTTGGAGAAGAGGGGAGCCCTGGGGCACTTGAAGGCCAGGATCCGGGCTGAGGTCTTCAGGGCCCTCGATGACGAGCAGGAGCCCCGGCCCGCGCTCTCGCACGAGAACCTTCTCATCAACGAGCTGATCCTCGAGTATCTGGAGTTCAACAAGTACAAGTACACGGCGTCTGTGCTCATGGCAGGTACGAGCCGCCCGGCGCCCCCGCGCGCCCTCCCCTCTGGGCCGGGAGCCCTGAGTCCCGCCGGCGTGCGCTGTTCTCTGAGTGAGTGGGGCCCAAGCCCGCCCCGGCCTCTGCCCTTCCTTGAAACCAGTTCTCCTGATGCGGGGGGCAGAGGAGCCAGGGATAAGCAGCTGGCCCAGGTGTGGACGGCGTAGATCGCCCCGGCGTTGGGGGAGGGCGGGGGGGGGCACTGAGGGCACAGCCAGGGCTCGGCGTCCGCGGAGGCAGGTAGGCCCACCATCCCTCCCCGAGAGCGAGGACTTCCTCACATTTCATCCTCTTGGCTGCCGGCAGGAGATTTTGGCATCTCTGGGGGTTTTTTGCGGGGGGAGGGAGGGTATCTGCTTTAAAAAAAAAAAAAGAACGCTCACAGAGGTGGCATGCAGTACCTTAAAAGTACAGGATAATAGAAGGCTCAAAATCGTCCTCTTCACCGTTGCAGTCTGTGCTGCATATTAAAGCATTCGGAAAATGGATTCATGGCAGACTGGCCAGTTTACCGTAAGCGCACCTGACGGAAGAGGGGTTAGTCTGACTCGGGTGGGGGCCATCATCCTTCTTCCAGAACAGCACAGCGTCGTGTGCCTAGTTGAGTGTGGGTCCTGCCAGAATTGGCTCTTTGACTGATCGCTGCTGTTTTCATGATCTCCTGACCCCAGAATCTGGTCAGCCGGTCATCCCACTGGACAGACAGTTTCTCATCCGTGAACTCAACGCATTTGAAGAGTCGAAAGATAATACAATGTAAGAAAATTTGAAAATACAGGTTTTGTGGCGTTGCCGTTACTGCGTGGGGTGGGTTTCCTTCCCTTTCCATTCCACGGGTATCAGTGCGGGTCTGTGCGTGTCCAGCACGGCCCCGTCCTAAGTGACCACGTCGGACGAGGTGCTGCGCGAGGAAGTTCAAAGGCCGTGAGTCCCAGGGGCCTAAGAGGCCGCCGCGTGCAGCCTCACCCCTCCGCCCAGTTCTTCCCGGGGCCTCTTGTCCGCTCCCCCGCTCTTCATTCCCTCTCTCGCACACACCCTGCAGTGCTCAGGGCCGACTCCTGGCTCTGCCTGCAGGGATCACTCCTGATGGGTCTCCGGGAACCCTTTGTGGTGCCGGGGATCGAACCTGCGCCATCCCACGCACTGCGAGCCGTCCTGTGTCTCTGGCCCCCTCCTGCTAATTTCTCCTCAAAAAAAAAAGTACATTGTCGGACGTGGCGAGCTAGTTTGGTGGGCTGAGGTGTGCGTTTTGCATGCAGGAGCCCGGGTTCAGCCCCTGGCACCACGGACTCTGCAGAGACTCTCCGTGCACCGCTGGGTGTGCCCCACCCCCTGCAAAAGATACGACCAGCAACCAAAAGCCCCAAACTCAGTGCTGTGCCTGGCCTCCCCTCCCCGCGGGCAGAGCCCACGCGCCTGCTCAGGCTCCTGCCCCCCCCCCCCCCCCCCCCCCCCCCCCCCGAGCTCCTGAGACGCGGCCTCTGCTGGGAGGCCCACGCCAGGCCCCTTGTTCCCGAGGCATCTCAGACTGCGGGGCCAGGGCTGGAGCGATAGTACAGCAGGGAGGGTGTTTGCCTTGCACATGCCCACCCCATGTGTTCGGCCCCCCGAGCACCACCAGGAGTCATTCCTGAGTGCACAGCCAGGAGGACCCCTCCCGAGCATTGCCGAGTGTGGTCCAAAAGGCAAAAAAGAAAAGAGAAAGAAAGAAAACTTGCAGCCCAGAAGTCAGGGACCGATATTTGCAGCTCCACAAACCCCCTTTTGAGACGCTCAGAGCGCAGGGGAAGAGACGTGAGGGTGACGGCCTACGTGGGGTTCTAGGAACAGACGGGGGGGGAGCAGACTCTCCCCAGAAGGTGACCCCTCAGGCCCAACTGCACAGCTGCGATCTCCAAGGGTGGGCCTGGGGCTGGGGTCCTGGCACTCGAGGGCCACATGCAGCCCCACGGTGCGGCCGTTTCCCGCCTGGCGGAGAAGAAAGACGGGGGCAGGACGTGAGGCCCCCGCGGGCGCCACCGCTCCCCTGGCCACTTGGGCCGGTGAAATCGACGCCTTTCAGCAACAGGGTCCAGCTTCCCCAGGGTTCGCCACGGAACTGATTCCGGCTTTCTCCCGCCCTAGACCGCTCCTATACGGCATTCTAGCCCATCTCTCGCAGAGGACCCGGGAGGGATTCCAGAGCGCCCTCGCCAGACCTGCCCTGCAGCCCGGCGGAAGGAAGCTGACGGGTATGTGTCTTCCCCGCGAAATCCTCGGCTGTCAGCGGGACGTTTCTCGCTGCGTTTTCTTATCTTTCGCTTCCCCGAGCCTCCGGCCCGAGTGGAGTCCGCTGAGGCCTCCCCCGGGTGTCCCCTGCTACTCAGAGTCGACAAAGATACGAAACACATGATTTGGAGAGGGAGTCGCTGGGGGATTAGCCGAGGGCCGGGCTGAATCCTGAGAGAGGAGTTCTGGACGGGGCGTTGAGGAACCCGATTTCCCCAGGGCCTTGCTTTCGAGCGGCTTCGACTGGGAGTAAGTGACTCTGTCGAGTCATTTTCCCCTTCCAAGCCCAGAAGAGAAGAAAAGCAACGAGGCCGTTGACTAGAGGGAGAGGGCGTGCGGGTGTGGGGCTGTGGTGGTGTTCGGGCACCCCGGGTGGCTTGGCGGCCGCCTGCTCTCCTTGCTTGGGGCACCCCCCACGTCTGGCAGCTCTTCCTTTCCCTGGGCCCTGTGGCCGCCGCCCCACGTTCTGAGCCGTCTGGTTGTTATTCTTTGGGGCCGCGCATGGTGCTCCTCGAGCAGGTGCTCAGGAGTCCACGTGGCTCCAGGGGACCCCGCGGGGCTGGGGTGGGGGTCCCGCGTCAGAGCAAGCGCTCCCACCCTTGGGGTCGGCCCCCTGGCCCCTGACGACCCTGTAGCTATGAATACCAAAACTCAGAGAGTAAATGACTTGCTTAAAGCAGACGGCTATCCCGCTGCTAGTAATTTATTGGATTTATTGGATTTAATGATATATAATTTTAATTTTTAATATAATCTATAATATATAAATAATATAATCTTGTGTTCTTATATTATAACTTACATAAATTACATAGTAATACATTCTTTATATATTTTAATGTATGTAATAATATATATATAGGCACCGTGACTTCCATCGTTACTCAGAGCTGAGTTCCTGGATCCTTTGAGAGGGGCCGTCCCCAGCGTTGCCCTCACAGACTGGGGGGGGGGGGGGGGGTGCTGGGGCCCATGGCGTGAGGAGCAAACCCAGGGCCTTGAGCACGGGAAGCCTGAGCGGCACCACTGAGCCGCATTGCTGCCCCTTGCTCCCTGTTTGAATCGGCACATCGGATGATGATTCTGGTCCTCGCCAGTTCCGAGTCACGGAGGGGCTGAGTGACAGGACAGCGGGGAGGGCTCTTGCCTTCGCGCTCGGCCTTCCCAGGTTTGGTCCCCAGAGCCCTGTCGGGAGTGAATTCCCGAGCGTGGAGCCAGGAGTCCGCCCTGAGCACTGCTGGGTGTGGCCCAGAACAACAACAACAACCTCCCCCCCCCCAAAAAAAAAAATTGAGAGAGCTGGATTGTAACCCGTGGTCCCCACCTGTCACACTGTTGTCCCTTGATTCGCAAGGAATCAGCGAGACCAGGTGCAGCTTGATCGCCTTTCGATTTTGGAAACCCAGGCTCTGTTTTGTTGCTGAATTGCGCATTTTTAAGAACTTGCCCACGTTTATTCTTTACTGTCCTTTTATTAAATTGGCCGTACAGCGTGTTTTTTCCCCTGGTTGTGAGGAGCATTTGGGGGCTTTGGGTTGTGTCAGGTTTGTGCATCGCAGGGGGAGCTTGTTGCTCCCACCCACAGAGCCGGGCTCCCCGGGCCAGGCCTCGCCCTTTCACGGCAGGCGGTCCCAGGAGCGCTTTGGATTTTTTTTTCTTTTGGGTCACACCCAGCGATGCTCAGAGGTCACTCCTGGCTCTGCACTCAGGAATCACTCCTGGCGGTGCTCGGGGGACCATATGGGATGCCGGGGATCGAACCCAGGTCGGTCGCGTGCAAGGCAAACGCCCTACCTGCTTGTACTATCGCTCCGGCCCCTCCTTGGGGTTTTGGCTGAAGAACTTTTCCTGTGGTTTCTTGGCGAGCTTTGAAAGTTTGGGAAAAACCACCAACTTGTCTGGTTTTCTTCTTGCCACCAGAGGGTGCTGCTAGGAGCATTTCTGTTCAGAAAAGGTGGTTTTTGTGGTTGCTTTTTTCCCTTTTTTAGTCCAAGTACTTTGGTCTCCCTCCCAGTGCCGGGCTGGATACCGTGGGGTGCCTCATACCTTCCGTTCTGTCCCTGTGATGGAGGGGACGTTGGTCACGACCTACCCCGGGGCCTGTAGTATTGTTGGAAACACAAGAAATCAAATGCTCTGTTTTCTTTAATAGGGGGTCTCCCCTGTGTTGCTCCCTAGGGTGACGGGGGTCACTCTGGTGACACGGGCCTGATGGGCTTCCTGCTGTGGCCCAGGGGTGCTGGAGTCCTCACTTGGGGGTGCAAAGACCACGAGGTGCTAGGGGTCGGACTGGAAACGTCATACTTTGGGGAGGGGGGCAGGGACGCACACCTGGCGGTGCTCAGGGGTCCCTCCTGGCTCTGCACTCGGGAATCGCTCCTGGCGGTGCTCCAGGGACCCGATGGGATGCCAGGGACCGAACCCGGGTTGGTGACATGCAAGGCAAGCGCCCTCACCGCTGTGCCCCGGATTGGTGGTGGTTTTACCCCTTGGCCACGGAAGCTCCCGTCTCACGGGCCTGCCTGCTGCCCTTCCCAGGAGTGCTGACCGCTGTCTCTGCCCTTCCAGGTGGCCGCCTCGGAGCAGAGGGTGTGAGGAACGCCGGTACCGAGGGCCCCCAGGTCTCTCAGGCAGCGAGGAGATGATGCTTCATCCTCTGGATCGTAGGTTCTCAGTGACTTCTTTTTCGTTCTCCCCGTGTCACCCAAACGCACCGGGGATGTTTCTGCTCTGTAGAGATGGGAGTTTCCGGAACCACTCAGGATCGCTGTGTCTGTGAATAAAAGCGAACTCTGCTGTCTGACGCACTAGGTTTGACACGAGAAGAAAACCTGGTTTGTAAGAGTACTTTGAAACATGCGAGAAATAAACGGCTGCTGTGTCTCTCTCAGTGCCTGTCCGCTCGTCCAAAGACACCTTCCGTCGGCCCCTCCACACGCACCTCAGTGAGACTTCTTCAGGCATGCATTTTCACGGGAAAAATTTCGTTTTAAAAACAAAAAAAAAGGAAAAGGACCGTAACGTCAGGGGGCACAAACCAAGTTTCTCTAAAGTCTGAATTTTAATATTATTTTTCAGAGAGCCATGTGTAATCCAGTTTTATTGCCTGAATTCCGATCCGACGGGGCCACGCCGAGCAGTGCTGGGGGACAGCGTGCGAGGGCGGCTCCGGCCCCTCACCCCTCCGTCTCCCGGGGCCTCCTGCCCAACTTCGAAACCAGGTCACGAAGTGCATTTTTTTGGTTTGTTTTAATTCCTGAAATCATTTTGGCTTCTGCTGGCCAATTTTATGGAAAAGGTAGGGAAGTCTCTTAATTCTGCTGTGAGTCAGACAAAGGATTTCTTTCATGCTGTAAAGAATGTGGACTCCTCGTGAATTGGGGCCGGGGGGGCGGCAGAAGTGACCTGCGACAGGCGACTTCTTTGTCTTCCCTTCACAGCCTGGACGGGAAGGGGTCGGCCCTCTCCCCCTGCCTTTTCGGGGGCAAAGAGTCTGTCAGTTTTGGTCCCTGGGATAGGAAAATGGGAAGCGCTTTTGGAGGGCGCTCTCCAGAATGCGACTTGCGTCCTTGTTCTCTGGATTTTAGAAAGTGGAGTCCGTGGACCAGCGTCACTGAGAGCACCAGGCACATCCCCCCGCCCCCCGGGCCTGGGCACGCTCTTGGGAATCCTGGCCAGAGAGCACATGCGCCCCCATGGGTGACAGGGCAAGGGGAGGCCAGGCCTGAGGCTGGCTCCCTCTGGCAGTGACCAAAACTGGTGAGTGTGTGCTCGGTGCTCGCCAGCATCCAGTCTTCATCGTTTCATTAGAAAAAATAATTTGCGGGGTCGGGAGGGTGTTTGTTGCGTCACCCCTGAAGGGGCTCGGACTGTTGCTGGCCCTGTGCTCAGGAGTGACCGCTGGTGGTGCTCAGGAGACCATGTGTGGTGTCAAGATTAATCCAGGGTGGGCCACATGCGAGAAGTGGTTTCCGACACCCCAGACTGTCTTCCTGACCAGCGCTCTTTATCTGAGTGCGAAAAATTATTGAACAACAGCAGCAATGACAACAGAAAAACTTGAACAGGGCTTTCCAAGTCTCAGGAATTTTTGAGAGGCCAAATTAACGGACTTACAATCACCCAGAGAGGCCGAGGAGTTACGAGGGCGAGTCTTCATTTATTTAAAGGAAATGTGAAGGGGCTGAGCAGTCTCCCAGCAGGAGGCGTTTGCCTTGCATGAGGCCCACCCGGGTTGGATCCCGACACCCTCTGGTCCCCCGAGCATGGCCAGGAGTGACTCCCAAGGACAGAGCCCGGAGTCTGCCCTGAGCTCGTTCTCCCCCCCCCCCAGAAAAAGGGAATGTGTAGAATCTGGTTATGATCATGGATTCCATTGTATTGTATATGGAGATATAAATATCTGACTATTCTCAGAAGACCGGGTTTACATCCAGAGGCATTGGCCGGGGACGCTAAGTTTACCTCAGGAATTGCAATCATGCATGACAAGATTAAGGGAAAATGCCAGAGTTTATCTTTTCGAATATCGGCAGAAAAACATCCCATTCGACGCTAAGCCGAATTGTCACGTGTAACCCGTTGCGCTCTTGTATGCATCTTTCCTGTTACTCGTTTGTACTGTGTGACTTTTATGCTTGTGATGTGTTCATTAATAAAGGGGGAAAAGCCACTGGTTTTGCACCGAGTCCTGTTTCTCTGAGTTCTGGCCGCCCCCGCAGCAAGAGAAGGACCACGGCGCCGGGGGCTTCCTCCTGGCCCCCCTCCCGGCTGGCAGCTGCCGCGCTGTTGCAGGGCAGAGGGTGGGAGAACTTTCCCCCGTGTCTGAGCATCAGCTGGACACCTCAGGATTCTCCACCACAGAGTCGCGGGCTGAGGTAAAAGGAAGCAACCGGACCCTCACCTGGGGGCCACGGCGGCTCAGAGAAGAGACTTCCAGCTTTGCCTTTTTTCTGTTTGGAAAAGAAGGAAAGTCCCCCCTGCTCTCCAGTGATCCCTTCTGAGACTTTTGTCATCACCACGAAGGCCCCCGGGGGAGGAAGTCCGTTTCGGAGTTTTTCAAGCCTTGTCCAGTCGTTTGAAAGTGCCCAGACGGAGACATTAAACAACCCGAGAGAAATGTAAATACAAGGGGCCCGCCGAGCTGTTCTCAGGGTCCAAACAGCTGCCCCCACGCCGGTCCTTGGCTTCGGGGGCTGCTTGGGAGGCCTCATCTGCCCGAACACGGAGACCGTGGAGAGCACTCGGGCCCTGCAGGGGGCCGATGAGAATCGAAACTGAAAACGGGTTTTGGGGGAAAGTGTGGGACTCGGGAACCTGGGTCAGCTGAGAAGCCGCCCTGAGAGCAGGGAGCTGTTTGAGGAGGATGGATTTATCGTCTTAGCCTATATGTTTGCATGAAATGACAGATTGCTTTATAATTAGGTGCGAGAACGCGTTTGTATATGGCTCACATGCCTGCATGGTTATGTAAAACTGGATGTGTTCTTTTAACCCGAAGCCAAGACTAGGCCGAGGATCAGCGTTTGTGAGACTGTGCCTTTAAAGGCATTCACGACAGTGCTCCCCAGCCGACGGCATTCGGTCTTTAGACTTCCCAGTGTACAAAGGACCGTGTGGTCTTCTTTATATACGTGTCACGGTCACGGTCCTCCCGTTGTTCATCCATTTGCTCAAGCGGACCCAGTAACATCTCCATTGTGACAATTGTTACTGTGTCTGGCATATCAAATACGTCACGGGGAGCTTGCCAGGCTCTGCCGTGCGGGCGAGATCCTCTCGGTAGCTTGCCGGCCTCTCCGAGAGGGGCGGAGGAATCGAACCCGGGTCAGCCCGGATCGACTACGTGCAAGGCAAGCGCCCTACCCGCTGTGCTATCGCTCCAGCCCCGTCCTACCTTATACCAAACAATCTGTTAGAGCAGTTTTAGGTTCATAGCAAAATTGAATGCAAAGCCCAGGCTCAGAACAGCCACCAGAATGATACGTTTTGGTGGGGGGGATGGCAGGTGCTCGGGCGCTGCCCCCCAGGTCACTCAGATCCACGAGGACCGGAACCCTGAGTCCCCTCGTACACGGCGCTCCTTCCATCCATTTGGCCATCTCCCGGGTCCAGAGGGCACGTTTTTCAGAGTGGATGATTCTTTCATCGACACGTCACTGTCACCGAAAGCCCCTCAGTCACGTGAGGCTTCACGCTCACTGCGGTGTGTTCCGGGGGTTCGAGCCCACGTGGAATGACACGTCAGCACCACAGAGCCACCGAGGAGTTTCAGAGCGCCGACACTCCTGCCCTGTCCTCTCGACCCGTCACCACTCCTCCCTGTCACCATCTCCGTCGTTTTGCATGTTCCACAACGTCCTAGCATTGAGTTAGGGCACCTTCTCGCACGCACATTGGTGGTTCCTCTGTCTCGTCCCTGGCCGGAGAGCCATCTTCTGCAGGGACCGCAGCCCCTCATTCCCTCTCCCGCGAAGGTCATCTTGGTTGCCTCCAGGTCTTGGCAGTTCTGAGGAAGGCCACTATAAATATCTGTGCACAACTTTCCTCACGGACCCGAGTTCCACAGCTATTTATGTCTGTCCCACGGAGACGGGTCCCCTGGATCAGAGGGTGGGATATGTTTAGCTTTTGCAAGAAAATGGAAGACGTTTGGGCCCAGAGGAATAGCTTGGGTCTCAGCGGCCCTGCTGTCCACCTCTCCTGGTGTGGCCAGCGGTTTCCGGCCAGCGGTTTCCAGCCACGCCACAGCCAGATGTGTGACAGCGCCACAGAGCGGAGTTAGCCACCCAGCAACGCTGCGGACGAAAGAGCCTTGGCTGGAAGTGCGACCCCTGGCAAGTACACGTGTGACCCCCCCAACCAGGTACCTCCACAAAGTGCGATCCCCAGCGGGCATGTGTACAGCCCCTCCTCTAAAGGAGGCCTTAGCTAGCCCCAGGGCGGGTATGCGAGCCCCTGAGGCAGAGATTCTAACCCTCCACCTTTCCTGTGGAGAACAGACCCTGGAGGTTGCTCTGAGCCTCGGGCTGCCACTAGGGCCCAATCCCGCCAACTTCTCACTGCCTTGGGACGCCACTAACTCCCTGTGCTCCCTGAGGATCAACTCACCAAGCCCTGTGTCTGTGGCAGGTAAATTAGCAGGACTTTAAGGATTGGGGATGAAGGCAGGAGAGTTGAATGTGGGCTATCAGGCCTCTGCTTAGTACGTATTAATAGTGATTCTCGGGGCTGGAGCGATAGCACGGCGGGGAGGGCGTTTGCCTTGCACACAGCCAACATGGCCAACACAGGTTCGATTCCCAGCATCCCATATGGTCCCCCGAGCACCGCCAGGAGTGATTCCTAAGTGCATGAGCCAGGAGTAACCCCTGAGCATCGCCAGGTGTGACCCAAAAAGCAAAAAAAAAAAGAGTGATTCTCGGGGCTGGAACCATAGCACAGTGGGTAAGGGCATTTGCCTTGCAACTCACTGACCCGGGTTCGATTCCCAGCATCCCATATGGTCCCCCGAGCACTGCCAGGAGCAATTCCGGAGTGCATGAGCCAGGAGTGACCCCTGAGCATCGCCGGGTGTGACCCAAAAAGCCAAAAAGAAAAGAAAAGAAAATTCTCTCCCCAGTGACCAACTTCTTGAAGGATTCTTCTGGAAAGAATCAAGGCCACCGCCTGGCAGAGGGCCGCTGGGGATCGTCTCTCCAGCTGGCTGCTTTAACTCCCTTCTCCCTCCTTCCAGGATCGCCGTCTGCTCTGCATCACAGCGAGCCGAACCCGGGGACTCTTTCCACTCCTTTTACAGTGCAGACGTGAGAAGGCGCGTGGCGAACAACCCCGTCCATCACCCTGAGAGAACATCCCCTGACTCCCCACCCTGGCCACCCGCCACTG